TTTCTGCATTCCTTACAGTGTTTATTAGCTTCTCCTTCTGAGTTTATTCGAGGATTATCTTGTTAAATTCATTGCATGTCTTTCTTCAGGTGGATGTCATAGAGTCACAATGGAATATTTTACAAACTCATATCCAAGATTCACGTGATTTTACTGAGCTTGTGAATTTTCATCAAGAGTAAGTCAATATTGTCAGTTGCTCCAACTTTCTTTTTAGATGCCGTGGTGATTCTTCATTATTGTTGCATGCTGATTTGTATTTTGGGAATCTTGATGTGTATTTGAAGCATAACTCGTCAGTAAATAATGTATTTTTGCTGCCGTACTTCTCCATCCAGAATCTTATTATGGTAAAGGGAAAAAAAGCAAGAGAATAAGAATAAAAGGATAACTTATGGTTTTCATTGGAATTGTAAAGGGGAAAGCAGAGATTATGTGGTTAAGTGACTTTGCAATGACTTGTTAGTGTGCACATTCTTGCTTCCTGGGTTAAAACTCTGAGTTTGTAGTCTCTGTACTCCGGGGGAGTGAGAGCTGTCAGTATAGGCCCATTATGATTTATGACTATGTATGTGGTGGGGCTGAGACTTGTGTATTGTTGTATGTCAGCTATATCTGCAGGCTGCTTCTCTGCAGGGAGGCACAAATCTTTCCTGTCAGAAATAAGGCAATACTTTCTTCGTTCCTTAATCAATCTAACACTTTGCCATTTAGGAAGTTAAAATTGCTACTTTCTGCTTTTGGGTTCTCTCTTGCTTTCTTCTCATCACAAGGGCTCCTTAATCTCCCACCCCCCACAATGTTGTTTAGTTATAATTAAAGAGCACAGGGATTATTCATATGGCATACGGGTTCTACTCAGGTCTTTGAGTATGGCATAGAGACTTTTCTGACTGCTATCTCTGACATCCTCCAACCTAGTTATCATACTAGTTGTAATCAACCAAAATAAATCAAGGGATGTATGGTGGAATGCTTGATTAACAACCATGAAGCACTGCTAGTATCGTAGTTGATGCTTATTTATGTTTCCAGAATCCTATCCTACTAAGTTAAATCTATCTGATGAAAGAACCTGTAATCTTGTGGATGATCTCTTTTTCGTGCCAAAGTATATTTCATAACTGTAAGAGCCAATGCGTTTAATAATTTACATAAATTGCCCTAAGTATAATCAAAATCTATGCAGGTATATGTCAGCCTTGATTTCTCAGTCATTCCTGGACATTGGTTCTGTGTCAAGGATATTGGACAGTATAATGAAACTTTGTCTGCAATATTGCTGGTGCATAGAAAACCAAGAAAGCCCTAATACAGCTGAGTTGGATCACATAACTGAGGTAACTTGGATAACTTTAGTTCTGTTTTAATTGGATGCATTTTTTTTTGTTTTTTGTTTTTTTGGCTGATGTAATTTGTAAAGATAATTGAGTTGTGCCATTCATTTTGTCTGGAGCTTCTTCTGACCATATATCCAGCCCGACTTAATGCATTCTCACTGGAACTAGCATCTTACTAGAATAGTATTAGCTTAGGATTATAGATCTAGATCTAGGTTCCAGTCTTCTTTGGACAAGAACTGCTGAAAATAATGTCAAAGAGTACCAACCGATATCAAGTGCTGCTGTAGCAAATGTGAACTATATAATGTGAAGATTATGGTTGTTGTATTTTGGATGCTATTTACTGTTTTATACTTTCATGCTTTAGCACTGTTAACTTGCAACTGTTATCACTTTGTATGTGGAGCATTGCTTTCTGATTTGTAAGATTATAGTTTCTTTTTGTGATCTTGTTATGAATATATTATGATGTGGAGCTCCAACCAGTTGATCCTTAGATACGTGCCTGCCCCTGTTCTAGGGGCCAGTTGTCAATGGAAAATCGAGCTTAACTCTACTGCTATCAGCTGAGGTGCCTGGGATCCTAGAGCTTTACACCAGACTGCAAAAGATGAAAAATAAGAAGTTGTTTCTCATTTGGCGGTACTTAGAAGGAACAATTATCACCAACTCCACGCTCACTAAAACTATTTAACTAGAGCCAACTACAAACCTACAAGGTGCTAAAGTCCTCAAGTTTTCCGTAACTTTTCACTTCGTAGTCCCTATCACCCTGCTGTCATGGAGTAACTCTAGATGTTTTATAGAATATGCCTAATTCAAATTAGCTTTCTACTAATTGAGCGGGTAATTAGAATTTTGTGGAATCCATGCCATATGCTGTCGATTTATGCTAGCATAGCTCATCTTTAATTGTCACATTACTGTAAAAACTGTTCAATTTACGCTATCACACTGTTAATTGTTTCCGGATGAAGTATTTGGATACCTGAATGAAGTGCCTCTTTTCACCATGGCTGTTACCCAGGCTCTTAAGAGCCCTGTATAACTTCCAGTTGTATGCCTAAACAAGGTCTGTTAGGTCTAGTGGAAGGTGACTTATTATATAGTTTCTGGTATTAAAATATTTTGCTATCTGAATTTTCATCATGCTAACCTTGAGGAGCTGATGAATTGGTGATAACTTGAATTTTGGTACTGACTTCTCTAGCTCTAGTAAAGGAATAACTTCTAGCATGGGAGACATAATGCACTTTTCTTGTTACAAAGCTTCTGAATACTTCCTAACTGCATCTATCATGTTGTGTGCTGTGCTATGCTATTCCCTTTCCATTCAAACATTACTAATTATATTGTTCTTGCATAATTTGTGTGCTGTTACATTAACCTTAATCAACGTTTCAGGAATTCAACAAAAAGTCAAATTCCTTGTACACTATATTGCGTAGCAGCCGACTTGCTGGGAGTCAGAGAGCCCCTTTTTTGAGGCGTTTCCTTTTGCGTCTAAACTTCAATTCATTCTTTGAGGTGAATCTGTTACCTTTTCTCCCTATCATTGGTTATTAGCTTTGTTCTCATTTTGGCTTCAATCTTAAAAATACATAGCATGCTTTGAATGTTGAGGGATGATAATTGCTCACAGTCCAACCACTCAGTTTCCATTAACAATGGCATTTAAGTACTCTTTAACCTTTTCTAAAAAAAAAAGGGTCTTTTTTTTCAAACTATTAGAGGGCTTTTTTAGTGTTTCGTGACCAAAAAGAGGCATTTTGTAGACCTTGTTGAGTTGATTCTTTGCTTTGACAATCCCTCTTCCTCCACTAAAATTGATCCAGTAATGTAATCCTGCTTACATTGTCAATCTCTCCTCTTTTTTCTGTCAATGTGTGCACTTAGATTTATTTGTCCATAAGAAAAGAAAAGGGGGGGAATGGGGGAGTGAGAGAGAGAGAGAGAGAGAGAGAAAACAGGGGTAAGCTTGGAAATGTAAAAAAAATTCAATGAAATTAGAACATGTGCTGCGTTTATCAGAAATAGTGTGCCATGTAGTTCCCCGCTCTGTATTTGCTAAATGTCTTACGGAACAAGTAAACAATGTTCCTTGTAGAGTATCGTTCCTTCTGTATTTGCAAATTGTCTTATACTTTTTAACTCTGTACAGGCAACTGCAAGAGGTGTTCTGAATGTTGTTAGGCCACGGCCTTCTCTTCCTGTATTGCAGCAATAAGTTTATGACTGATGTATCTGTTATCAAATTTGAGGCAGTGCAATGCTTATTGGATTGACTTCTATTTATGTACTCTTCCTGTTGTATAGCAACTTGTGAATGGTGTTTCGGTTGGCTAACAAGATTTAGCGTAATGCTTCGGCCTCTACTGTTTCTGTATATATGTGCTGCTCTGTAAGTGTACTCACTAGCATTTGTGTTAACCTTTCTGGTTATTTATAAAATTGGGTGTTGATGGAAGTGATAGCTAATTTGAAAATTGTGTTTTTTTTGGAGAAAAGAATATTTTGTTATTCTTGTATGATCTGTACTTTTAGCTTTCTTTTATTTGGAGTACTTGTGTACTTTATACTCGATGGTTGAAGATCCCCATGTTCTCTAAGCTCTAAAGTTGGTTATATGAAATAGTTTTATTTAAGTGCTTGCCAGTTGCCGGTGTAAAAGTTTAACTTTTAATACGTCTAATCTACTTGATTTATTTAGAGCATTCCCAACAATGAGCAAAAATGGGTTTCCTCATTCTCTCTCTACCCACTTTTTCTCTCTTTTAACCCATGAGCATTTTTGTGATCATATTTTTATCCCACCAATGATCAAAAAAAAGTTTTTTCCCTATTCTCTCTAGTACATCTTCTCTCTTACTTTTACTAATACCCTCTTATATTTCTCTCTACTATATTATTTTTAATTCTTTTTTTTACTTGCATTGTGAACCCCACATGATTACTATTCATCTTAAAAAATGCTCATCCTATGAGCAATTTCATTTTGCTCATGAGCAATTTCATTTTGCTCATGAGCATTTTTCAATATGCTCATTGATGGGGAACATCTTCTACCATTTTTGCTCACCATTTTTGCTCATGAGCAAAAAAATGCTCATTGATGGGGATGCTCTTAGTTGAAACATTTTATTTTTTACATTTTTCAATGCATATACGAAGTACATTAATTTTTTTAGTCCGTTTGTACTCTTGTGTATAACTGGTCACACCAGGTAGCCGGTTTAAAGAAAACAAACCCTATAATATTGTTTCAAAAAAAAAAGTAAACTCCATACCATTGATTAACCTCTGTAACACGACAAAATAACCTCTGTTGACTGAGTTAAAACTATTTTTGCTGCAAAAGACCACCAATTTTAAAATTTTTGTAAAAAATCACCTTTTAAATCTTGTTTTTTTGCATATAACCACCTTTTAAAAAAAATGTTGCAAAAAACCACCAATTTTAAAATTTTTGTTGCAAATTACCACCATTTCAATGTAAAACAATTGATAAATTTGGCTTAAAAAGTGGTATTTTGCAACAAAAATTTTAAAATTGATGGTCTTTTGCAACATTTTTTTTGAAAGGTGCAAAAAAAAATAAGATTTAAAAGGTGTTTTTTTGCAAAATTTCCTTTTTTTTTTTTTTTTTTTTTTTGGACATACTGATTATATTTAACCAATGTAATTGTAATACAAGTATTGTAATATAGTGAGAGTATTTTGATTCTGGAATATTAATTTCGTTTGTATTACCAAGCCAAGCTTGGTCTAGTGGAAAGGAGAGTACCTTCCAACCATGAGGTTGGGGAGGTTCAATACTCAATAGTGACAATTTGGGGGAGTGGGATTCTCTTACCCCCCCCCCCTCCTCCGAATTGTCTAGCCCGCTAACCCGGGCCGGAAGGACCTGTGAAAGGTTCAGGCTCGGTAGGGCCCTTCTCCCTTACCAACCAAAAAAAAAAAAGTTTCCGTTTGTGTTTGTGAGTAACAACATTAAAATTATATTCCATCACTAATAATTGAATATTTTTTGGACTTCAAAATTGTTTGAATGCTTACAACTTATAATTGAAAACTCCTTGAATATGTTTACAGATCTTCAAACCCTTCTTCGTCGGCTTCCTCTTCAGTCCTTTGAAATTCACTTCGCCACATTTCCATCTGCACAGATGTCCAACAATATTAGTAAAATGTTTTAAAAAATAACAAAGAAAAATTTAAGGTATTTCAGTTAATAGACATCAACTCAATTTCTCAACTCAAGACTCCACACCGCTTCTATTGCTTTGAGAAAAGATTTTAATCACAGTTCATAACTTCATAGGCAAACATTGGACAAAGTATACATTACAGGTAATTTGTTCTACGACGACATTTTGACAGATACTATTAGAGATAATTTATCAAATTATACTCCGTATGTCTCATTTTATATCCCATTATCTTTAGTTGTGGTTTTGTGCCTCATCTAAGTGAAATGACAAAGTTGGATGTAAAACACATGATCCCATCCTGTTATTCTGTTAACTTCATCTTAGAAATGAAATGGGAGAAACACATATGTTATAGTATTTCAAAGCCAATTCCACAATTAAAGCCCTTTTTCTCCCATACCACAGGTGAAACTAAATATGAATGGAAGAGCATATGTGCTCTAACCTGATCATCAGAAAATCTCATATGCTCTGCAACAAAGAGCATAGTGCTAGAGGTTTCGTTTGATAGATCTCTACTCAAACTACTAGCCACATCTTTATAATCGATCACATGAACCTGAAATCCATGGCGCATGAAAAGCTTGTGCATCCATTCTTCATGACTGGTCTGGGAATCAATGAAAAGTAACAAATAGTCTTTCATACAGAAAAGGATGCAAGTTAGGTTCAAAGCAAGCATGACAGGGAAATGTTACTACCTTCAGCTCAACTTCAGTTTCTGCTAAACAGACAGGGACTTCTCCCATTACAAGACTTCCCTTCATGGCTAAACTACTGACAGCAGACAGAATATCTTCAAAACTTGTCAATGTCATTAAAGGCAGGCCCTGAAGAGGAAAATTACATTTACTTCAATAAAGTGCACTGATTAATATTAACAGAAGGGTAAAGACAGACAAATGTCGATGACATTAAAACCTGGAGAGCCCATATACTGGGGCGGTTACCATTAAATCCTTTCTTACGCAGGACTTCTTGTATGTTAGAAGAGTCTAGTGAAACATGAAGCAATAAGCAGCTCCTGCTGATCTGAGCACCAATATCTAAAATTTTATAAACCATGTCAAGACTCAAGGCACAATCCTCTAGTTAAAGAAATACATAGGCAGACTGCAAGATATTATGAGTTTATTAGAAGATTTATGATACACAAAAACTTCTATAAAATGGAAAATTGCACCAAGATATTCATGAAAGTTATTGAGTAAAAAACAATCAAGGGAAATTCTACATGGTAGCCTCTAGTTTTTGCATTTTCTATCTGGTGGAATTTTTTTTTGCCATATTCTATAGTGACCTCCTAGAATTTTATAAAGTCTAATTTGTGCATTAATCATCCTTAAATGGCCTAACCCATGTTTTCTTGGTTCATCTTCATAATTTAACTGTTGACCTTGATGTTTTGATGATGACACAAGACAAACTTATATAAAGGTACGACTAGAGTGTTTTAGAATGTGGTGCTTGAGAACAGGGTATGCGTACTCAGTCCATATAAGGAGACATTCAAGGAGCAAAGGAAGCCTTCAATTAAAGACACATAGGAAGAGTTCCTTGACAGGCCTAGTGCTTCAGAGTAGAAACTGAGAACACAGAAGTTCTTTTAGGAACAGAAGCTTGTAATAGGTTGTTGCCCTATTCTAGTAAATAATTTTTATTTAAAATCCTTAATGGTCATGGTTTTCTTCTTGTTTAGGGTCAAGAAGCACGCTAAAGTTCTGTTTGTCATTGAGTTCCTTTAGCTTCAGTATATTCCGCAGAAAGTTAGGCAACTTTCCATACTACAATTCAATCCCCCTCTTGTAGTATTCATATAGAGTAACATTAACTTTAATAACTATAATTACTAACTCACCCGTAAATTGTTCAATCAAAACCCTTGATGACAACCACCCATCTACCATCGCCACTCCACCATCCAGCCACCCAGAGGCAAGTAGGCAACCCTACCCAACCCCACAAGTAGGCAGCCCTACCCAAAAATACACCCATGGCCCCACCTACCCAAAACCACCCAACCTCACTTTCCTCACCTCAAACCCACCCCCACCGCACCCCAACACCACCTCCACTAACCTGAAACAGTCCACCCACCCAAACCACCCACTCCAGCCTAGATTCCACCACGAAATTGATTTAGCTGAACAAATTGCAAGCTAAATCGAATAGGGGCTTTTGTGTGCCACAATTTGCAAGCTGCTACTGTCGGTGTGGGTTGAGTGTAGCAAGGGAGTGGGCGTAGGTGAGGTTTTTAAGGTGCAGCAAGGGTCAAAGGTGGTGAATCGTGAGTGCTCTATGCTACAATGGTGGTGATAGTAGCTGGGTAAGTTCTGTTGTCGTGAAGGATATGCGATGTAGGTGTAGCAGAAGTTGCATGTTTTTGAGTGAATGTAGGGTGGTTTTGGGTTAGATGTGGTGGGTGGGCGATGGTCTTGGTGGTGGTAGCCAGTAGCAGCTAGGCTATGGTATTGATGGTGGTAACAGCTAGGTGATGGTGGTTCTGGTGGTTTAATTAGTGGGAATTGGTGGTGGTGCAATGTTAAGTAGGGGTGAGTAAGAATTTTTTAGATTTAGGTTAAGAAATAGTCATTTTATAGCTAGGTTAGCCACATAAAACACAAAAAGGGCACATTTGAAAATTATGCAACAGCAAAGGGTCTCTTAATAAATGGTCAATAAAAAATTACACCAAATAGAAAATGCACAAACTAGAGGCTACCATATAGAATTTCCCAAGAATCAAAAGTATCAAAAGAGCAAAGCCATTAGAAGAGTACTACTCTCAATTTAGCAAATGGAATTATGGAAATATGATATAGAAAGTCGAAACATTTTTTATAGCACACAAGCACTTATCGCAACATCAACAACCCTGAAGCTACTAGGAATGGAAAACATTAAGATTTTAATAACTTCAATATCAATATTTGAAATCTTCATGCACTTAACTATAATAGGCCACCACATTTTGCAGATGTACACACAACATACCTTTAAGCTTCTGAGATACGTTGCAGTAGATTCTATCTGGTGATATGTCAAATATCAATGTAGAACTTGGCCAAGTTAGTCTATAAACACGGGTATCGGCACCATCTGTCAACAAAACAACCTACATATTTTCATTATGCCCTCAAACATAGTCACTGCCCTTGATATGAACTGAAAGCTTCACATGTTAAGACTAATCATACCTGTTTCAGTTCATCGTTATTTCTCAAATTTTGGAGCAAACTATCATCAATGAACTTGGTAGCAAGGCAATAAGGGTGCACATGCTGCTCCATATAGACAGGAATATTTGCAGGAACCAAGCAAGCCACATAAGGATCATGGAAAAGAGGGTCTGCAGATGCAGAAAAGCCAGAGTCCCGACATGTTAGAATCATAATCTGAGCACCACAAACCATTGCGAAAGAAAAAGTCTTACAATAAAATACAGTTAAGACAATATCGAGTTGACATTAAAGGTAAAGGATTTGGGCTGCTAAATTTTCTATTTCAATCACTTCTTAGAATGATAAGGGATTGATTAATTTTATAAACTTCTGCAGCTTTTGGAACTTCAATATCATCCTTTATTCCTTCGGATCTTTACGACGTTATGCCAAGCCCTCAAGCAGTCCATACAAAACCAACTAATTAATACATAAAACTACTACATAAACTTATATATAGTTCTTCCTTTTATGAACATAACAGGCAGACAGGAAAAGGAAGAATTTTGCCAATCAATCAAAATTCATGCAGCTGGAAGCCTGGAACATATGGGATGGCTTCTGCTGTTCTGCATCAGATTCAGCATGGGTGTAATTGATACAATGGTTTGTTCAAGTTCCAACTATTACCAAATAATCACATAAACAACTTAAAGGGAGGCCACTACAAAGGAAACAACCTTGAAACCAGCTGCCATGAAAATGTATAGAGAAGCAATTTATAAGAACAGTAAAAAATTAACACCTAATTTCGTAAATACCCATTTGAAACAAACATTAACACCTAATTTCGTAAATACCCATTTGAAACAAACATTAACAGACTTTAATACAACAGCATATTCCTGGATTTCCATGTAATTTTACAGAAGCCTACCCACTGTTCGATAAAATGCCTAAATGAAAACTTAGAGACAAAGAATGTTGTAATGGAGAGAGAAAAGAGAGAAACCTGGGCGATGGGTTTCTTGGAAACGAAGAGTAGCAGAATGCAGGGCAGCTTGAAGAAAAGGGTCGTCATCACTGCTCAAATTTACGGCGACCCTGAATCGGTTTTTCGATTTATTGAGGTTGTATTGGTTATGGAGGAATGCAGCAAAGGTTGGGACATGGCTGAAATTCCTGAAACATTGCAAAGCTTCCATCTTTAAAGAGGATAGATTTGCCGAAGAATGTAGAGATTTGAGTGGGAAAAGCTGTTCAACTTCAATTACAGTCTTACATGTCTTATCATACAAAGTTACAGACTACTCCGTAGCAAGATGTCTATTTTCTTTGGAGTATAGTATATTCCCACTTTTATATACTACCTCCGTTACAGGTTATATGCAACGATTAGACATTTTTCTTCTCTGTTTTATGTCAAATCGTTGCAAATAACATATAACGGAGGTAGTATAAGTTTTTTCACCCACATACTATCCACGTCAACGTTTATTTCTTATTACCTTAAAAAATTAAAAAAAAAAATTAATAAAAAAAAATCATATCTTTCACGTCAACATGTGAATTGAGTATTCAGAGCGCGTACCTTCAATCTCGGCAACTTCAAAATCTTCATCGCTAAGGCCACGACTCTTCACAAAGGTATTCTTTTTTACCATTGAATTTAGGAGAATATTAAAAAATTTAGAGTAAAACTCCTTGTCATCAATTGCATTAAGGGCACTTGACGGACATATGCACTCATCTCACCAAGTTTGACAATTGAAGTATAAGACATACAAGTACTTTTGGGAGGCTAATTGAACAAATGACTAGACAGCTAATGTAGATTTAATTAGTGATAGTATGGAGAGTCGGTCCCTATTGATATCAGATATCAACAAACATTGTTAATATAATGGTAGTGTTGTAAATAATAGTCTAAGACTTTTGGAAAAGTATTGATAAAATAATGGAAAGCTGAGTTGGATTCCGTTGTGCTCATTTGTGGGTAAATCTGGGGAGGAAGAGAGAGAAACAATGCCCCAAAAGTGAAACCCACTTCTCTCCACAATGAAGGAACACACGCCAATCTGATCAAACACTACCGACAGCGAATCCCGAACACTATCGGTGGCTTCGTTGCCAAATTAAATGAAAATTCTAAGTAAAAAGGAGTAATTTATGGTATAATTAAGCCCAAAGGGTAGGTGTTAAACTCCTCCATTGTTTCAACCATTAAAAATAAGCTTTCATTGCTTCACCATTGAAGATGAGCTTTCATTGTTTCACCATTAAAGATGAGCTTTTCATTCTCCATTGAAGGAATCCACAAGAGTTAGCGTTGGTTGAAGACAAATTGATGATGATCGTTAACGTCGATTCCTTTGGAAACGGGATTCGAATAATGGGAATGAGCTGGAATCTTTGTTCTTACAATTTTGTTCCTCGCTAACATAGTTGAAAAGACTGCAACACCCATATATTAACAAGATTTGTTGATATTTGATATCAACTTGTATTTTCTCATAGCATGGATATTATTCTTTGTAATAATTCTAGTCCCTCAGCTATATTATCTTCTGATGCATTAGGAGTTCCCCTCGTCACCTCGTGAGGGGTCTCTTAACCTTTTTTTTCTTACCTCCATTTTAAACAACCATATAAATTGAGTATTTCATAGATTAAAGTCCTATTAAATTGAAATAATTTTACTGAATCTATTTGATCATAACTCTTGATGACACACAAATTACTTCAAAAATGTTGTCGAGAATAAATTTGACACAAGCCTTAAAGAACACAATCGTTGAAAGCAATTTTATTAAACAATTGTAGACTACTCTTTCTATCCCTAATTTTTTATCCGAGTACACTTTTGTGGGTCAAGTTTAAAAATCTTTAACCACAAATTATCACAAATTTATAAAATAAAAGTCATTTATTTCAATGTTTACTTTTATAATATTACACTAGTTTAATCCCGTGGGTTGCACGGATTAAATAAATATTATTTGCTTAAAATAATTGTCAATATTCTTTATTCGAAAAGTGTAATCATAATCTCATTAATTAATTTTGAAAGAAATATTGTATTTGTTTAGTTTTAATAGAAATAAATTAATGATGTCAAAAATAGTTTTGGTAGGAAAAATTTTCATAAAAAGTTGACAAGTGTCTCTTCATGATGTCAGTTTTGTTTTAGTAAGAGCACGCAAGATTAGCCCATAGGTCTTAAGACTCTAAATAACATCTATCATTTTCTAATTTTGTGGTCTTAAGATAAGACTTTTTTTTTTAAAATGCATTTATGAAGCTTGGTCTTAACAAAATCTGAAGCGGAGTCTTGAAAATTCAAGACTCAACTTAACAATTAATTAACTTTTTTAATTTTTAAAAAACATCAATAATTTGATTTATATAAAATAAATGAGTCTAAGGGATGAAGAGATAAATCTAATCGAGTTTTAAGGAGTCTTAACATAATTATTAAAAAAAACCTAATAACTGATGTAACAATAGATTAAAGTTTTAAAATAAGAGTGCGCTAATCTTTCTCTAATAATTAATAGATTTTATATAATTTTTGCTTAAACAAAATTGGAGATATTTAAGTTATACGATAAGACGAATATGAGAGTCATTGGATTATAAAAAGTTAAATGGAGCAAACAATTTAGTAGTAACAAATAGAGTTCAAGAGAATATTTAAAAGTTGCCAAATGAGATTTTTTTTTTTTTAACACAAGAAGGGGAAATATATTAATAAAAGGAAATCCTTACATCAGAAATATTACAAAGAAAATTGATGTAGGTAGCCCAAACAAAGCAAAACAGCAAACTGAAACTAGAGTTTGAAAAAGCAAACTGAAAGAACATAATCCTATTACATAAGATACTCCAACCTAGAACATAGATGAGATGACATGAAAGCAAGAAGAGGTTGGAGAAATTAGATAACAGCCGCAGCAGCAAGAGGCCCCAACTCCCTTTCATACAGAACCTTGACACTTTCAGGAACAGAGAAGTAAGTTTTATGTCCTATGCTCATATCATTCCCAAATTCAGCAAGCTTATGGGCTATGACATTAAGATCCCTTCTGATATGCACCACCTCAACATCTTCAAGATTATTAATGATTATGGCTATATCATTAATAGTGGAAGCCAACTGATGGTGAGCATTAAAATTCATGGTATCAAGCATGACTTTGATAGAGAGACAGTCAGTGTAGAGCTCCACTTTTTTAACTTTGAAAGTTTCAGCCATAGCAAGCGCATCCCTCACAGCATAAAGCTCAGCTGCAAGAGCAGTGAGAGCGTTGTATTTGGTTGAAAAACCAAGATACCAAGAACCATCCTCATTTCAAATAACACACCCACCCGCAGCCACATTAATTCTTCTCCAAGATCCATCAGTGTGGATTCTTTTGTAGCCAGGAGGAGGGGGAATCCAAAGCAGAGCTTCAGCACTCGAGGGAGGACCAGATCTGAGGGTGAGAAAAGGAGCTCTAGGAATAGAACCACCAGAAGGATTGGTTCTAACCAAAGAGCAATCACAAGCAGCAGAACTCTTTTTAGCAGTAGAAGAAGCAGAGATAGTAGCAGAAGAATTAGCTAAAGAGAAGCTAGCTACTCCCTTTCCTTTATCCAAAGTACTGTCCCTCGAGCAAGCAGCAGTAGAGACATCATTAGCAGCAATAATAGCAGCAGCAGGATCAGCATTGCCAGCAGGGAATCTCTCAGCATCAGCTTCATGAAGATTAGCCTCAGAGCTAGAGGATATAACAATTCTTTTCTCTTTATCCTGCATAATCATGTTAGTACTATGGTAATCATTGAAAAACCGAGCAAAGATAGCATGAGCATGATACATTTTCTTCTCAAAAACAGTGATGTTCCTATTTCTCCACAAGTGCCAAAAGGCAATAGCAAAGACCATTTTCCAATGAGCATCAAAATTCAGATTGTAATTCAACCAATCCACCCATTTAAGATTCATAAATTTCTGAAAATTGAAATTGTTAGGCAAATGTATTTTAGAAAAAATATCATTCCAAAGAATATGAGAAGAAATACAATCTCTAAAAAGATGAATATGAGACTCTTCATACATGTCACATCTAGTACACATGGGACTCACGAAGGGGAGGAAAATTGAAATTTTTTGGGCCACAGGGAGAATGGTATGCATACAATTCCACAAGAGCATTTTATACTTTGGAGGAGCACCGATTTTCCAAATTCCATTCCAAGACTGACAGAAAGAAGACACAGAAACACTATTCTTGATTAAATGATGATAAGCAGATTTGATATTAAAAGCACCATCGCTTGAAAGGGTCCAAGTGATATAATCTTCCATATTTCCCCGCTTAGAGAGGGGCGTAGCTAAGATTAAATCCACAATGAACTCAGGAATGACATGCTTAATACCATCCAAATACCAATCACCATTTCTAATTATGTCACAAACAAACCAATGAGCTTTTGAAGGGGGAACATCATTATCCAAATAAAGATATAAGGGCTTATCCCCAACCCAATGGTGGAACCAAAGAGAGGTGGATTTTCCGTCCCCAATCCCAATTCTTAATCCCGAGGCCAAAAAGTGTCTCCCTTTCATAATATCCCTCCAAATAGGAGAATGAGAATTATTGGGAATGCAATCAAAAAGGGCTGAATGTCTCAAATATTTATCATTAAAAATTCGAACCCATAATTTATCATGATTAGTGAGCAAAGTCCATCCCAATTTGGCCATAAAAGCGATGTTCCATTCCCTAAGTCTTCTAATACCAAGCCCCCCAATTTTCATAGGTTTAGTAACATGCCCCCATCCAATTCTAGGAGAATAGTGAATGTTGTCTACTTTATTCCAAAGAAATTTCCTACAATGCTTCTCTAAAGAATCCACAACAGAAAAGGGGAGCACATTAGATTGCATATGATAAACAGGATAAGAGTTAAGCACTGCTTTTATCAAGGTACATCTACCAGCAAGGTTGAGGAGTTTAGACTGCCAACCGCTTATTTTACTAATGGTTTTATCCAGAAGAGAGAGATAGTGAGAGCCTTTAAGACGATTAGGATTGATCTCGATGCCCAAATATTTGCCAAAGGAAGAAGAGGCCTTGAGATTAAAATGCTCACTTATATTCTGTCTAACAGCAAAACTCATCTTATTAGGGAAGATAATGGAAGATTTGGCAAAATTGATTCTAAGCCCTGACATGTCACCAAATTTATTGAGAATCTCCAACATCACACTAACATTTCCCAAAGAGGCATAACCAAATAAAAACACATTGTCAGCATAAAATATATGAGAAATGCTAATGTTTCTAGAAATCTTAATAGGTGACCAATTTTTGTCAATGACACTAGACTCAATCAAGCTAGAAAGCCTTTCCAAGCAAAGCACAAAAATGTACGAGGGCATGGGATCTCCTTGTCTAATACCACGAGAGGGCCTAAACTCTTTGGTAATCTCTCCATTCCAAAGGACTGAAATTCTAGGAGAAGTGATGCAAGACATAATAAGCTTAACCAAGGAAGGAGGAAAATTAAAAGCCTTTAAGGTATCCTCAATGAAAGACCACTCCAAGTTATCATAAGCCTTAGACAAATCAAGTTTAAGGGCGGCTATATTTTTCCCTTTTTTTGCTTTACTGAACATATGGGCTACCTCCTTTATCACAATAACATTATCCTCGATACCCCTTCCTTTAATGAAGCTAGACTGTAAGGGATTATTGAGCTTATTGAGAAAAGGTTTAGCTTATCAGAAATGATCTTGGTGATTAACTTATAGATGGTGTTGCAAAGACCAATTGGCCTAAATTCTGAGATATGAGAGGGGGCTTCAACCTTAGGAATTAAGGAAATAAAGGAAGTGTTAATAATGAGATTATTTTTTAAAGAAAAAACAAGAAGAATTCCTAAATGAAAAGCTTGATTTTTTAATTTTTAAAAAATACTGTATAAAAGATGGTAGTAGGTGTTAGTCAAATAATTTCCGCTAAATTAACACCAATTAGGCAATTATTATAACTTTTAATCATTTTTTTTTTTTTTTTTTGAGAACTATAACTTTTAATCATCATTATTAGAATTAATATTAATGGTATATATAAAAAAAAATTCCTCAACCATCACAATTCACCAAACATCAATCTACCAACCCATTTCGAATACTATACATTACACATAGCTCCCACTAATTGACACCAACTTATCTTCTCAAACCTCCAAAAATTCATCAATGGAGTTTGAACCAACCACCACCCAATCCTCTGAATCCCCAGAAAATGATAACAAAAATCCGCCATTGTTAACCCCCTTTAAACCTCCAACTGCTTCCCTCTCTCTTTCTCTCTCCTCTGCTCTTACTCTTCCTACCCACTTCTTCATCCCTTCCAAAATCACCCAACTTTTCTCCCCCAAAAACGTCAAAATCCCACCTCAAATCACCTCTGCTCTCTCCACTCTTTCTCTCTCTTCCTCCACTCTCTCTCCTCCAAAACCCTTCTCCAAAAAGTCCTCATTCTCCGCTACCCCTCTTCAAAACCCTCTTTCTGTCAACCCTCGCCTTCCTTCAGACCCCTCTAATGGCGCCGCTGTTCGAAGAGCCACCATTGTTTGGTTCAGAAATGACCTTAGAGTTCATGACAATGAGTGTCTTACAACTGCAAACAATGAGTCAATGTCTGTTCTTCCTGTTTACTGTTTTGATCCTAGGGATTACGGGAAATCCTCTTCTGGGTTCGACAAAACCGGGCCGTTTCGGGCCTCTTTCTTGGTTGAATCGGTTTCTGATCTTAGGAAGAATCTTAGGGCAAGAGGGTCTGATTTGGTTGTGAGAATTGGGAAACCTGAGACTGTTCTTGTTGAGTTGGCCAAAGCAATTGGAGCTGATGCGGTGTATGTGCACCGGGAAGTGTCAAAAGAGGAGGCGAAATCGGAGGCGAAGATTGAGACAGCAATGAAGGATGAAGGGGTTGAAGTGAAGTATTTTTGGGGTAGTACATTGTATCATTTGGAGGATTTGCCCTTTGAATTGCAGGGTATGCCTACTAATTATGGTGGGTTTAGGGAGAAAGTGCAAGGGTTGAAGGTTAGGGATACTATTGCTGCTTTGGATCAGTTGAAAGGGTTGCCTTCTAGAGGGGATGTGGAGCCTGGAGAGATTCCTTCTCTTGTTGATTTGGGTCTTAACCCAAATGCTACATTGTCTCAGGTTTTACTCGCTTCTAGCATTTCGAGTTCTAGTTTGGTTTCGTCGAATTTGTTTGATTCAATGCTTTGATTCTTTGGTTATGTTATATTATCTTATATGTGTTGGAATTTATTGTTTGATGTGTAAAATTTCATGGTCTATTTCTGTGAATTCTTTTCAATTTTTGCACTGATTAACCGGGTTGACTGAGAGGAAGTGTTTGAGCTTTTGCAATGGAATGTTATGTGAAGATATTTGGATTTGTATGAGGAATTAAGTAAATGTTTGCAACGTTCTGCATAATGTTGGACTTATTAGTTTATGGTAAGATAGATTTGTGGCTGTAGAGTATTTAAAGATGCTAACTTGTGCTCCTTAAATTGATTATGTGATGCTTTAATATCTTATTTGGTGGAGAGTGGACTAGAGCATGTAGGCTATTATACATGGAAGGCATTTGAGGAACCATAGATTGACGATTAGCCTCCCTCTTGTTCATTTGCACTTACTGTAACCTTTTATCTGACAGTCACTTATGTCAAACTTTACAAATAGCCTTTGTTATGTTGTATGCGTTCATGGAACTCCCTATCAAGCCTTTGGTGGTATACTCTTCAGAGGCATTGGGGATGTTGATGTTGTATTGTCTTGTGTTATTACAACATGTATTCTCCTGGAAATATTTTCTGTTGGGAAGTGCAAACATTGAAGTTTACCATTTCTCTAGTCTTGTCTTGGTCTATGAAACTTTCAAGTGTGTGTCTTAGGTGTTCGTTAGGATATTGTTCCTTTCGCATAAAGCTAATGAAAATAATGGTCATTAAATCATTACAGTATTATAGGTCCTCTTGGCATGAAAATTCCACTAAAAAACTGGGAAATAAGCAATTGTAATGATAGATACTCCATATGTTTGTTCCAGCACTTAGGAGAGTGTAGTGAACAATTCTAGTACATAGAAACAATTTCCCTTTGAAGGAATAAGGGGATGGCCTCAACTTGCTAGGACTTGAGGCAATTTAAGAAAGTTCTACATCATATCTTACATTTTTGAATTTTAGTCATTCCCAACCATTTTTTTGGGCTATACGGTGATGAGCAACTTCACCATACATTTCCAATATTGTGAAACAGGTGGCTGAATCACATTGGACTTGGACCTTATTAATCAATCAATGGCTATGTTTGGACTTTGTACATGCTGCAAAGTTGCAAACCCATGGAGCCTGTTTGACTCGACTATAGTTTACGAAATGGAATGAATCCATTAAGTAAAGGGAATGGAATGTATATCAACCCATTATGAAATACGTTGTTTGTTTCAGCTATAGTTTTAAAAATGGAATGGTATCCACAAGTAGTGTTACCTAATCACCCCTACCCCTTGTGGACTGTGAACAGAAACATGTGATGTATACTATAAAGTCAGTATTTTTTTTTTGCCGAAGTAATAAGGTAGCAGGTTTGCAAATCTGTACTGAATCTCATACTAGTCAATTGGGTAACACTGTCCACCTCATCCTTATTTTTCAATACATCAGAACCACCATATTACTGTATACTACCCAAGCTGCCAATTTTCTTCTATTACCCTTCTTCCTCCTCTTTTGAGTTTTTGCTGCTTAATGCAATTTTTTTTTTGCCAAAATGAAGGTTGGTCTTAGCCTTAATAAGCAAATTGAGGCTCATTATGGCTTGATCTGGCTATGGTGATGTTGATTGTTGAACAGTGCTGATTTTCTTCGTTCTCCTCTTCAATTCTCTTGTAGTTTTGTGTACTATATTAATTTCTTCTACCTTAGTAATCAAGTCACATGTTCAGTTGCTGTTGTAGAGAGCAAAGTGAGCTTTCTGTTTCCACCAAATAACATAATTTGTTATACTGTTACAGTACCTCTGGGTGGTGCAGGTTTCAGATGTGGGTACTGTTTATTAGAGGCAACCAATTTACTCCACTACTTTTATCAAACTAGTTGAAACGGAATCCTCCTGATTCTCATACCAGTTCCAACTTTTAACCCCTAACAAACATGTTGTTGATAGGTATAGCCATTAGCCGTTAATACTTTGCATAAAATTATCTGTAAGGTCATGGAGTCTGAATTGCTTAGGCAACTGTTTCGGTCAGTTAAACATAATTCTGGACTTTATGGAGTTAGGCAACTTGGGTACTATGCATTCAGGAAGGATCATATTAGTAAAATTGGAGTGGCAGAGATGCGTTTGATAAGATGGATTTTAGGAGGAACACCTTAGAGGATAAATTTAGAAATGAAGATATTCGGAGGAAAGTTGGAGTTGCGGTCATTGAGAATAAGATAAGGGAGAACCGATTGGGTGGTTTGGGCATGTCAAGTGGAGATCAAAAGACACGCCAGTATGGAAAGTAGAGGTTTGGGATAAAGAAAAACTTAGAATAAGCTGGGGAAGACCAAAGATGACTTGGATGGAAGGAATTAAGGACATGAAGAAGTTGAGTTTTCAGGAGCATATAACATTAGACAGAAGGAGACTAGGAGAGGATCACGGTTCATGAGTACAAATGGTGGTTGTTGTTGTTGCTGCTGCTGCATGAAACGGGTCTCTGATTTTATTTGCATCAGTAGAAGACAAGGGTCATCAATGCTTGGTTGATGTTGTGGGCTTGTAGCTTTTGGCTTGTATATATATAAGAAGGCAGTAGTCTAGTACTCTAGTAGTAATTAGGCATGAATTTGGTTATTGGAAATAGAGAGTGGCAACCTCAAGTTGCTAACAGGAGAGTTGTAGGCTAAACCTATTACCTTTGTAAGCTTTCAACCATTATCAATCAAATTATCAGGTCTTCATCTTCATTAAATCCTTAGTGCTCATACAATATTTACAATCAGAAAATCAGTCTGTAACATAATCACTGTTAGAGGACTTGTATTGATAGATTATAGACCCCTGGACTTGATCATTAAGTATGCTGGACTGTGATTTGCATATTCTTGATTATTAAGATTTTGGCAATTCTCTTATTTGTGTAAATTTTTCATAGGATGGAAAACCATCTGCTAATGGTTCCCTGGTGGGAGGAGAGACTGAAGCAATGCAAAGACTCCAAAAATTTGCAGCTGAATGCAAGGCACAGCCACCAAAGTCCAAGGACGGCACTAACAGCATATATGGTGCCAATTTCTCGTGCAAAATTTCTCCATGGTTAGCCATGGGATGCCTTTCTCCTCGACATATGTTTGATGAGCTGAAGAAAACTGCTTCCAGGTATTGGGTTGTTTTGTCGTGTTTATGTGGTTATGTTTCCCTTTCTGTCAAATTTTTACAACTTTTAACTTTCTTGATACTCTCTTGTATAAATTATCAGAACAATTTCTGCTTCAAACCGAAAAGATGGTGATGATGGAATGAACTGGTTGATGTTTGAACTTCTGTGGAGGGATTTTTTTAGGTTGGTTACGTCTTGACAGAATGAATTTAATTTGTTAGTACAGCTCTTATAGCTTAACTTCTTGCAATTCTCATATTGGTGTGCATGTGATCTTATTTCCCAGATTTATCACAGCAAAATACAGTTCAGCAACGAAACATGCCAATGCTACTCCAGCTACTGCTTGCACAGGTGCACTTGCTTAAGCAATTTTATATGGTGATATACGTGTGAGAGATTAGGGTAGCTGACAACAGCAATGGGCTCCTGTATAACAAAAAGTTGCAAATGTTGGAGCTTTTATTTTCGGGGTCAGCTTATTTCTGCCAGTTTTTTTTCTCCTTCTGAGGATCTGCATATTTTGTCAAAAACATATCCCTTGTAAACAATGTCCATCTTTTGAACTCTTGACTGGGCTACTAATAATCAAAACTTCAGCTTTAGGCTATGGTATATCTCACTAAATATCAGGCTAATTAATACTTGTAGTTTTTTCGGTTGGCAATTAATGCATTTTGTATGAAGTTGGGAGTTATTTCATTACAGTCGTTGGGCAAGGTCTTGCAAGCGAACTAAAGCTACATTTTGTACACGAGAAATTATTTTTTTTTCACATTTCTTTTAAATATTAAAAATAAGAATAATTCATGTACAATTACAAGTAATTTAATTAGCAATATAGGCCCCGTTTGTTTTAATGTAAAACATTTTCAATGGAAAATTAGTTTTCATGGAAAACATATTTTCAAGGAAAAACACAATTGCAAATTAGTTTTCCATTGTTTGGTTGCATACAAGAAAAGTCCAAGAAAAATAAAAAATAAGAGTGGAAATGTAGGGATGAATGAGAGGGAAGTAAAAAAAGAGGTAAGGAGGAGAGAGGAAAATGTGGCTTCCCTTGTTTTTTGAAGGAAAATGTTTTCCATCATTAAAGATGAAATTTTCCACCGTTGAAAAATTGTTTTCCACTCCTTAACAAACCAAACAAAGGAAAATGGGAAAAAATGGAAAATTCATTTTCCATGAAAACCTTTTATATCAAACCAAACAGGGCCATAAACATGAACTAACGTGTAATGTTATAGTGATGTGAAATTTTATATACACCCCTGGTGCAAGGTCCAATTTAGTTCATCTAATATATTTTAAAAAAACTATGAAATGAGCAAAAACCCACCTTTGGGGGTGCATTTACTTTTATGTGCACTCATTTGTATATAAAACGTTTTGATAGCGATGAGCTCATGTCAATATCAATGATAATTGATGATAAAACTCACTGCAAATGTGTTTGTATTTCATATTCTACATCAACCCTATTCTATGGACATTGACACAAGACTTATCTTACAAGATAACGTATAAATTCATTTTGCGACGTATAATACCATCTTTTGAACAATCTTGAAGTGCACTTGTATCATTGTTCGAAATTGTCGCTGGTAAACTGTGTATTAAACTCCCGATGTGCAAAAGTAGTGGCGTCTATATGTTTGAAAGAAAGATAATGAAAACGAGCGAGATGCTTTAGAAACAACCTGAAAGCGGTAAATTGGTCATAGTTGTGTTGTAGAGAAGATCATTCTCTACCAGAACAATACCAGAGATAAAGGAAATGGCAATGTGTCTGGAAACTCGGGATCGTTAATGGATTTGGCCCCCTAGAGGGGACCTTGACCGTGCTGAAGCTGTATTTCAATTTTCGATTGGCATATCAGCATTAGAGCTTTAGCATAGTTTCTTTCTGGTTTCTGGTTGGATTGGGTAGGTTAACAACCGAAAAAAGAAGGAAATTTTTGTTCTGTAAAGGTAACTATGTGGTGGACCGAAGCAGAGTTTGGCCCTCGCTAAGCTGCTATGGTAGGAGGAGGGGCGGATCATGCATACCTTTTATGGAAGCCTTTCCATTATCGAAAGTCACCTGGTTAGGTTTGGACACACATATTAAGGAATTTAATAAGGAAAGGTAAGAATGCGAGGGAATGAGAGTTAGTGGAGTCCACCTCAAATGAGTTGAGTGGAAACACCCTAAGAAATGAATACATGAATGTTATTTGTAAACAGAGAGTTAATGAGTAAGAAACTCACAAAAACACAAAAGTGATCCAATTGATAAAATGGATGTCATCAAGTAATGTTTGAAGCTTTATACATCTATGAAAAAAATTCATTTTTCTTTGATGTTTCTATATGCGTTGTACATATCACACTATGATAAAATGCTAATGAATTTTAAATGAAATAATTTTACATAAATCTAGAGCAATATATATGGACTTGCAAAATTACAAAAGGCCGGAGACTTTGAGGGAGGACAGAGTAACAAAAATAAGCCAAAGCAACATGAAGTACCCACTTGTGATCCATGCCCAGATCCTAGGTCCACCAAGCTCGGCACCAAACACAAGACGCCTCAGTACCAGAACTGATATACAACCTACTGAAGTGCAGAAAAACACAAGCAATGAAAAACTAAGACCCTCAGCACTTTCAATCCTCAATGGTTCATGATATGCAAAATAATTGTATGTTGTATCGATTAGCCATGGGATGCCAATGCCCACATATATGTTCACGGAATTGCTGCAAGAGAAAAAGGAAATCCAGAAAAATGTTACCATGGGAGCAAAAAATCCTAATGAACATGCAACATGTTACTAGGAAAATTTGAAAGGTTTAACACAGTGAAAAATATAGAGTAATGAGTTTTCATTCCTCTCTGATTCTCTCAGTTTGTGTTAACTTGGCAAAATCAAACCAAACCCGATAATCAAAATACAGGATCCAAACCTGAACATACTCTGAAGTAAATAAACTATTAAATTCGACCCTAAACAAAATGAGTATAATAATGGTTCAACTATCATTGATCTAGTCGGAGTGATCAATTTTCACTTCCACTAAAGAAACAAACAGAAAAACTCGTTTTGTTATTTTCCAGATCCAGGGTGAAAAGAAGAACACTCTCTACAAGGTCCACAGTCCGCTCTCCCTTTTTAGTTTTTACCAAGACCACCACCTAACACCCTCTACACGAACAAACATCTGGCCAAGTAATGAATTCTGATGTGTTAATAAATGCAACACTTCTTATATTTCTGCACCTTTGCTTCTTCTATATGACCTTAAAGCAGTGAAATCCAAGACAACAGAACATAACTATGCTATAATGCTTTTGTACTTGCTTGCCTGTTCTAGAAGACTAGGAAGTTTTGTCTTTAAGAATCTTTAAATGAAACAAGCAGATTTAACCAAAAAAAAGGGGGGGGGGGGTGGAGGGGAAGAAAAAGAAAAACCTGCAGGTGATATTTGCAATAGCAGAATCCGCTGTTGTCTGACGCTCAGCAGCGATCTTGCTGGCCACTAAGTCTGGCCAAGAGGTACCCGCAGCCAACGCGGTAAAAGCAATAACATAAGGATTTAGTCCTGTCAAACAGAATATTAGTCAAGAAAAATAGGAACTTACATTTGATCATGGCAATGGATACCAATCAATATAAGCACAAGCTAACCCGTCACGCAGCTTATCATATCTGTGATCTTTGTCACTATGAAAGCTATACTACTGATGAAGAGTAGAGAACAGGTGAAGGCTATCCATCCATGAGCAATACGATAAGGAGGCACAAAGGCAAACATGAACCTCCACGGTAGGAGAAGCAAAAACCAGATAAATCTGACCGACCTTAGAAAGATACCCTCCAGCTTTTTATGTTCAAACTGTCTCACCAAAATTTAAAAGTCAGTATATTCACAGAACAATGACAAGAAGGCAGCCTATTCCTACAAATGCAAAAATAAGATACATACCAATATATATTTCCCTACACAGATTAAATCCCGTCCTAAAAGTTCATTTTCCTACCTTATCAGTTATCGAAAATTCTTCTAGATACAAAGAAAGTTACAATTCATATTGCTATATAAGAACAAGTATTTCGGTAATGAATTTTATATTTCCAACACTCCCAATCTTAGGACTGAACTATTTGTGGAGGAAAATAGATAAAATCATTTTCATGTCTAATAAGCTAGTTCCAAAAAAATTCATTCAGAGGGTAGTTTTATTAAAAGAGTCAGTGATATACAAGCAGATAAGTTAAAAAGTTAGGAGGGGGTGAAAGAAATGCCTTTTTGAATTTGTTCTAGTCAATTGAAATAGACAGTACATTTTGTTTAACCGTAAAGCACTAGATGTTAAATGGAGCCTTCATCCGGAATTTTTTTTCTCAACATTAGTAATGAAATAATAACAATAATAATAATATAAATAAATAAAGAAATAATAATTAAAATAATAATAATAATAACAATAACAATAACAATAACGATAACGATAACAATAATAAAAATAAATAATAACAATAACAATAACAATAATAATAAATAAAATAAAATAAAAAATAAAAAAGAAACTGCACTTTTGACACGTTGCTAAATAAATAAAACCCTCTAATGTCATGTAAAACAAAAAATACTAAAATATAAGTACCATGAGTGCATCCACGAACTGTTGCTTCCAAAGTGACAGTATAGTGGCATTGTCTACTTTTATGTTTCTCACAACTTGTTCAATGTTTGATTCAGCCACTTCATCAGAAGACAGGGCCTGATATGTACCTGAAAGTAATACTTCAGAAAAATCATCTAAATAAAAAGATACATCAATATTTTCTGAGGCATTACCGGGCCTTATACAAAAATCTACAATAAAATTCAATTTGGCTTTTGAGAGGCACAAGATGAACTAAGGAAACTGTTGATGTGTGTCAACATTACCTGTCTCATTGTCACCATGAATGGAAAAGATGTCGACAATGTTTCTGTCTTCATAATCAGCAACAGAATCAACAGAATCTTCTCCTAGGTTTTCATGTTTACACGGTGAAGCCTCTTCTGGAACCCACTCCTCAGGCCTCTCAGATCTCGAGCTGAATAGTGAATGATAGAGAAATGTCTTAATACCAAGTATGTCAGATAATACAAGCCAACTAGAGAGACAATTTTTTTAAAACATAAACTTACAAAGGAAGAGATAAGTAAGGCCATCGCATGTCCTGAGCATATGCATTTAACAGCAGTAAGCCATATTGCAACACTGTCAAAGATGACTCCAATAGAGTAACTACATTGGGAGTCCAAACCTGTAGAAAGAACATTTCTACAATATATTATCGTTTTATATCAACTACAAGTGCTTACATTAAGCTGAGGAAATCATATATTCATCACAAAGTGATTTACGTATAGCAGAAGCTTTTTATTTTGCCTAGCGCTTTGCACAACCAGAGGTTACATGCCAAATAATGCATGCAAATGTTGATACAATCACCTCAACAATCGCAAAGAAGATATGAGTTCTAATATTAAGTTCAGAAGACAAAGATCAAAGCATCCAGAAAGATGAATAAGGATTTCCATCAATTTACAACAAGAAAAGTCGTCCATGAAATTTTATTTTTGAAGAATTATATACAAGAAAACTAAAAGTATGACCAGCTAAAGAGAGAGTATAATGTATAGAAATTCATTACCTTCAAAATAATGTACAGCCATATGTAAGCCCAAAAGGACCAAAATAGCTCAACCAACCAGACTCCTATATCAGATATCTTTTTCAGTTCTCCAGCTTTCGGAACAACTACACAAACAGCATGGATTGGGAATAGGTCGAATGCAGCAGAACCTACTAGAGTTCCAGGACCCAAGCCTACATAATTACAAGTCAAGCTGAAGTCAATACCAAACATATATAGAAGCAAGGAGAGAAACAAAGCACAACATTTGAATGTTTTACTTATGCCATTTATTGTATACATCGAAATCATCTTCTTCCTGTTCAAGGTGCTTCCATATTAGAGCTAAAAACAAATTTCTTCATAATCTATGTTTGGAAGAACTGGTGAGACCTAGTTGCAGAGATATCACTTGTCTCTAACTCAGTTGAGCAGTATACCAACTATTTTGATTAATAATCTTTTTAAAATTATAGTAGGGCAGAAGAAAAGGCTAATCTCTAGCAAAAGAGCTCCATATTGGAACATTATAAAGCCATGAAACCTAAGCAAGTATAGCATACACTGATATATAACAATAATACTATAATAGACTAGCAATATACCACTTGAAGCAACAGGAAATATCAAAACTAAGTCAGCACTAGAGAGTAATTTAGCACATTGCAGTTTGATGTACAACTGAAAACAAATATATGAGAAAGCTGCAATTTAAACCAAATCATATAAACTTATGAAGGTTTTTAGCTTTCTTTTTCTTTATCGGTGTTGTACATATATTAATGTAAAGTCTTACAAGCATGACATTTGACACCAAAATTACTTAAATGCATAAGAAAAAGATAAACCTCCAGCATTAAGGCTTCCAAGGTTCCTTATAGCATCAATGGTAGCTAAAGATATCTGAGGGAAGCTAGTTCCGAAAGCCAGAAGAGCAATATCTGCAATTGCATAATTCCACACCTTCTCATATCTAACAGTTTCAACCTTAGTCAAGGGATCAATTACCACCACTTTACGAGTCTGCTTAACTACATTCTCCATGGAGCGAAAAAATCTATCTGTAATGGCTGATAATCCGATGAAACAATAAGCAAGACCCATAAAGTACATGGCTGCACGCAATTCATTTCCTAGATATGTTTCACTTCTGAAAACCAAATAGTCTCCGCATTTCTGATGGGCCAAAGCCGCGTCTACAAAAACTGTAAGATTATTGGAGTGCAGGGTTGCCATCTTTGATTTATTTGAGCAGCTATATCTAATAGCAAGACATCAGTAGCAACCCCAACAAACCATCAAAACCCCTTAAGCTCCTACAATGTCGAAGGGGACATGAATCAATATCCAATGCACAAACACAAACACACAATGTGACAGCAGACAATCATAACCACTATGCAATTATCAGTTTATATGTATTTAGAATCTTATCATCGACGAAATCTAACAGCCCGTTTGGTACCTTGGGTCAAACAATGGCAATAGAAATGAAATTGTATATACATTTGGAAAGAAAATCAATGTTCATTCAAGATGACCCTTAAAAAGTCTGTTTTTCTTCATAAATGTCCATTCCCACCAAATACAACCTTCCAAGAGTTCATGGAAAAAACAAATACTTAGGGGACAAGATTACATTCCTATCAAGAACATAAGTACTTTTCATACTAAATTACACATAAAATTCATTCCAATCATCACAATTTATTACCAACTACCAAACAGGCCATAAGAACTTCAGATACATATAAAGCCAACTGATTTGATATCTAAGCAATACGACATTATTCAAAAAACCCATTAAAATCATAAGTTTGTCTTTTCAATACACTAGCTAAGTCATAATCATATCTCACTCTTCCCAAAAACAAACATGAAAAAAAATACAAAAAAATGATCTTTACTCAGAATACTCACTATCTAACCCAACAAACAAATACCCATTTTGGGATTTTGGCAATATTTTATATCTCACAATTAATACCTTATCTAGCCCAACAAACAAATACCCATTTTGGGATTTTGGCAATTCTCAAAAATGAGCACAATTTTACCCCTTACAATTGCAGCAACAAGGGAAGAGCGGATAGCGGATAGTGGATTGAGGGGGCCAGTGGAGGATGGCGGATTTACGGCAGCGCCAAGAGGGTATGCTGCAAGTTCAAAGATCAAAGAGAGAGAGAAAATGGTAGTGTGGTTGACTGGTTGTGATTTGTGAAGGAGCAAATCAATGAGAGAGTAGGATTTGGAATGTGGCATAAAGTCGTTTTGTTAATTATTGTGTGATATTGATACTTGCTGTATTTGATTAGGAAGTATGAATTATGAGAATACCGCAAATATCAACAATCCTTATCTCTTAAAAATCGCTTAAGTTTTTATTATCTCTAATGCACATTTCTAAACCATTAAAAATAACTCCATTGATGTAAATATGTAATTTAGGGCCAAGCCCAAAATAGAACAAACTACTCCCTCAGTCCTCGAGAGAACGACCCATTTGAGTTGATTTTGCGGGTATTAAGAAACTTAATTTGCAAGTACAAATGTATGGGAAAACACAAGTCAACAATAATTTGCAATTAATGCCTAGAGAGATGACACAAAGATCTGAAAAAATAGTAGGGTAAAATAGGGAGAAGGAGCTATGACAAAAATATTTGAGGATATATTGATAATTTTGTGATTTTAATAGATGTTGGGAAAACAAATGGGTCATTCTTTTTGGGACTAAAATTAGGCCAAAAGGGTCATTCATTCAAGGACGGAGGGAGTAGTAAAATTAAGAAAAATTCCTTGGTTATTTGACACTCATTCCGTTTCTAAATAATTAATGACTTTTTGCATTATTTATACGAAGTATATTAACTTTGACCATTGCTTTTTTACTGATGTATCAAATATAAATTTTATTATGAAATATATTGTTGTATTAGCCAATTATTATTATTATTATTATTATTATTATAAAGTTTAATTTTATAATATCAACTATATTGAATTTTTTTACTACTCGTAATAATTAACCATTTATATTTAGATCAATACATTGGCATGTGTGTCAAGTTTGGTTGTGTCAATTATTCAGTAATGAAGAAAGTAAAACATTGTTTGAAAGAGTTATTTCAAAATGGTTCATATGAGGGCCTTTTTGAAATAGCTTTTGTTTATACACTAAATAGCCAAAGCAGCTAATGCAAACGATTAATAGGTAGTCAAAATAATTAATAGCTAAAATTAATCATCAAACAGGCCTAAAGAAGAAAAACAAGCAAAGCAGAAATATGGACAAATAATAAGTTTATGAAATTTCAACTCTTGCAAATGTCAACATGTTGCAAGTAAAGAGAATGGAGAAAGTATATTAATAAAATCTAGTTGTTTGGCCCAAGCGATTGCACCGGATAGTAATAAGTAATTATAGTACACACCTAAATTGGGAGTAAATTGAGAAAAAACAAGTTATCAACGTGATAAATATTACTTGTTTATCAAATGACAAAGTTGTAAACAAATGAATTTTTTTTCCTTGTTCATAAGCAAATTCGCTGCTAAATGATATATATTTTTAAGCAAGAATCGTAACAGTAACATTACCTTACCTTCACCATGATACAGACTCCCAAGTCCTTATGGCATAGCACGAGGAGATTTTTCATCAATATGATAATGAGAATAAAAATCAGGAGCGTAATCGGGCTCTTCGTGGTCCAAGATAAGAAAACCATCAATAAGAATATAACATCCAATAAGCAAATTCGCTGCTAAATGATATATATTTGTATGACTTTGGTATGATGACTTCAAACATGAATTTTCGTAGAACTTTATACCACCATACAATCGTGGTATACAGGATAGAAATACAGCTAAACTTAGAAGTGTTTCACCTCCCTTGAAATTAGTATAGTGATTGTACATCACGCCTCCTACGATAATTGCCAAAGCTCCGAGTGAACTTGAAATAGGCAATGGACTTGGATCTACCATATGAAAAGAATTGAGATTAAATCATAAAGCATTTGCTTCCCTTTTCACACACCCCTACCCCTTAAACTCTTAGTGTGGTAAAGATGGTTTTTTTTAACGTCTTATTTTCTTTCCATTTGACAAGACAAAGAAATATGAAGCGATGATTCTTTTTATTGCCTTGTGATATTACTATCAATCTCACTCCTTGATAAACAAAATATGTTTTATCAAGTTGATAAACCGGGGCTTTCTTGTGTAAATTTGGCAAATTAAAAAAAAAAATTATTTTTGCTTTAAATGATTTTTGTAACTGAATATTAATATCCCTTGACTCTTTGTTTATTTTGATGCAAGGAAAGTAAAGCTTTAAGATCATGCCGTGTGTTAGGCTAAGCCTCTCTTAGCTAGCTTAGTTACAATGTCTATTTTCAAGATATTGTTTTTTTTTAACCATAATTATTGCTACACAAGTAAAGATATTAATGGTAAAATTTATGTGTCGGTCGAAGTGATGCAAATATCAAAGAATGGTGGGAGTAAAATTTTATGTATATGTTATCATGCATTTAGGCCTATTTCAATTCAACTTATTTTTGCTAAACTGAAATTATTTTTACTGAACTGAAATTATTTTTCCTGAATTTAAATAATTTTACTGAACCGAAATTAATTTTATTGAACTGAAATTATTTTTGCTAAATTGAAATTATTTTTTACGGATTTTATGTTATATTTCTTCTTTAAAAGTTACCTATTTTTACTGAACTGAAATTATTTTTCCTAAACTAAACTTATTTTTACAAAACTAAAATTATTTTTAAGGGTCTTAGGCACAATTCACTATACCTTATTATTATTATTATTATTATTATTATTATTATTATTATTATTGTTATTATTGTTATTATTATTATTATTATTATTATTATATTATTATATTATTATTATTATCATTATTATTTGAAGAAATACACTGCACCTTTTTTTTTTTTTTGAGAAAACCCATAGTTCTTGTGAGGTTACTCCATACATTCTTATGGATAAATCTAATATATATATATAAAGGGGAGTTTTTTCCCGAGTTTTTAGAGAGCCACATATGATCTAATTTTCATAGTGTGCCATGTAGGATTATAAATTTTAGTAATAACCAATTAAATAGGAGATTATTAAAATCTTTTATAATTAAATAATTCAAATGCCACGTAAGCAAAATTGGCGAATGAGATTTTCCAATTTAAATTAATTAAATATAAAATATTATCTTTTCATATTAGGAATTTTATCTAAATATATAAAAAAAATTAGCACATAAATATATGTATAAAAAAATTATTTTTAAAAATTCAAACAAACCGTGCATCGCACGGGCTTCATCTAGTTAATAATATAAGGCACCATCCGGTTTTTCTCAAAAAAAAAAATAATAATTTTGAAATTTAAATTATTTTGGGTTTTTCTACATGGTACCCTTGAGTTTTTGAGTTTTCTACCTTGTACCCTCCTAAATTCAAATTTCTACGAGGTGACCTTGAGTTATTAGTTTATTTTACATTATACCCTTGAGTTTTTGGATTTTTCTATATGGTACCCTTGATTAGTAAAATAAACGACTCTAAATTAATTTGATTCAAACTAACACCATCTAAACGACTTATTAAGCATCCTCAAAGACACAACTAGCATGTTTAATGCGAAAAAAAGGACTAACAACTTGAGTCCCCTCTAAAACAAGGTCTTTTAGTTAAGTAGGACTATAGGAGCAAAAAAAAGTTCTTATCTTCCATCTCAAACAATCATACAAAAGTTCCACTAAATAGCGAATAATGAAGATTGATGATTCCTCCATCTAATATAAATATAGAAGTGGTAAATAGATCATTTAGATGGTGTCGGTTTGAGTCAAATTAAGTTAGAGTCATTTATTTTACAACTCAAGGATACCACGTTGAAAAAACCCAAAAAGTCATGGATACTTTGTAGAACTTTGGATTTAGAAGGCTACAATGTAGAAAACCCCATAAATCAGGGGTACCATGTAGAAAAACCCAATTATTTTTATTAAATTGAAATTATTTTGCTGAAATAGAAATTATTTTTAATGAATATTTTTAATGAATAGAAATTATTTTTGTTGATTTGAAATATATATATATATATATATATATATATATATATATTATATATATATATATATATATATATATATATATATATATATAACCACAATACAACATTCATTTAGAGCACTAACACTAGTGAGGAGAATTATTTCTCCTCATTCTCTCTCTACCCACTTTCTCACTCCTCCCACCCATTTCTCCTCAAGAGTAATATTTTTTACCACATCAATGCTTATAAAAAAAACTCCTCACCACTAGGGGTGTACACCGGTCCAAAACCGGACCGGACCTGGACCGGACCTGTTTGGACCGGGGACCTGAATTGGGTAATTATGAGGACCGGGGACCGGACCTGAATTAACAGGTCCGGTTCCGGGCCAGACCTGAAAAATCAGGTCCGGTCCGGGTTTGGACCTGAATGGACCTGTTTTGTGTCTTTTTCGTTTTTTTTTTTAATACAAAACCTGTTGGACCTGCATATGGACCTGCATATGGACCTGTTTTGTGATTTTTAGACCTGTTGCATAATTTAATAATTACATACAAACTAAAATTATCAATTACAAAACTACATAAAGTCTATAAAGTCCCGATTCTCAAACACCAAAAATACAAATGAGTCCACCGAAAATACAAATAAGTCCACGAAAACTCAGTTTCAATTTTTCAGAGTTTGGTTTTCTTCTTTTTTTTTTCTTTTTTTTTTAATTACGATTTTCCCGGGTTTCAGGTCCGGACCTGAAAACCCCGGGTTTGGACCGGGTCCGGACCGGGACCGGGAACCTGGATTTTTAAGAACCGGGACCGGACCTGAATCAACAGGTCCGGGTTAGGTCCGGTCTGGTTCAGGTCGGTTTAGGTCCGGTTTCAGGTCCGGGCCAATTTTTGTACACCCCTACTCACCACTATCTTTCTCACTATTTCCTATACCCCACCACAATACACATCACCTTTTTTAATTTCAATATTCTTTTTTTAAAAAAAATTGTTTAAAGTAGTAGGATACAATTATGAATACAATTAACCTTATAAAATTTGAGTTTTGGTTTAATTACTTACATTATAAAATTTCTGTTTTGTTGTTAATTTTTTTAATTATTTTTTAAAACCAAAATAGTTTACTATTAAACAACGTTTGTTTGAACTTAATTATTTAATTAAAGCCACATTTCTTAATTATATTACATTAATATAAAAATACAATGGAATTTAAAATGATGATACAAATACTTAGGACCTAGATGATTATTAAAAATTAACCTTACTTTAACATAGACCGGAGTAATTAATGACACATTACAATAATTTATTCGGCATTATTAGGACCATACTTTGCCAAATGTGCTCTACCAAATCTTGTTTGAGAGATAAATGGGTCTCTCTATCACAAAGGGCTATCCGTCTCTGAAGATACGTGTCAAATTCAATGTTGGGTGGACGTCCGACATTGTATTCAAAAGGCTCGTCGTTGTTCACCATGGCACTTGTACTTGGTCCCGACCTTACTGTTGTACGTTGTGGGCGATCTTCTTCATAGTACTGTCTCAAAACTTCTACACGAGTGTATTTTTGTCGTTCATCCTCTACAATCATGTTGTGCATAATTATACAAGCTTTCATTATATCACACAAAATGTCTTCATCAAAAGCTAGTGACGGTTGTCGCAGTATAGCAAACCTAGCTTGTAAAACTCCGAAGGCCCGTTCAACGTCTTTCCGAGCTGCTGCTTGTCTATCAGCGAATAACTTGTCTTTTTGAAGCTGAGATGTGTTATACCTTGTATAAAAGTTGGCCATCTCGGGTAAATTCCATCGGCTAAGTAGTAGCCCAAGTTGTACTGATGACCGTTGACCGAAAAATTTATTGGCGGTGAACGACCTTGTAGTACATCATCAAACACCGAAGATCGGTAAAGAACATTAAGATCGTTGCATGATCCAGGCATTCCAAAGAATGCATGCCAAATCCATAAATCTTGATCAGCAACGACTTCTGGAATGAGGGTCGCATTCTTGCTACGACCAGCATATTGCGCTTTCCAAGCCATAGGACAATTCTTCCACTCCCAATGCATGCAGTCTATACTACCAATCATCCCATGAAAACCACGCCTATTATTTTGGTAAAGGATTCTCCTTATATCTTCATCTGTAGGACTTCGTAGGTAATCACCTTCAAACTGTTTAATAACCCCTTGACAAAAATGTTGCAACGCCTTCCTAGAGGTTGTTTGGCCAATACGCAAATATTCATCCACGACATCTGGAGCCAGACCGTAAGCTAACATTCTTATTGCTGCAGTGCATTTTTGCAAAGGTGATAAACCTAGCCTTCTTGCTGCATTCCGACGTTGCTGAAAGAACTGGTCCCCTTCAACCACCTTGCTCATAATATGACAAAACAAAGGTCGTTTCATTCGAAATCTACGACAAAATTGGTTTTCGTTGTAAACCGGATTATTTTCAAAGTAATCGTTAAATAACTGCAAATGCCCTTTTTCTCTTTCCCTATCCCCTCTTGGAATTAGTACACTATTAATATCGTTTATAGGTTGGCTTTCTTGTGGTGGGTTTTGTGGAATTAATATAAGTGGTAGGTGGTTTGTGACAAAATCATCAACAAGGTGATCGAAGTCTTCATTTTGATTAGAATCTGAAGAACTTGAGCTTGAGGAGATGGAAAACATATTTTTTGTTTTGGTATGATAATTGGGATTGTTGGGGTGATATTGTTTACGGTTGAGTGTAGCACATGTATATATAAGAAAGTCATTCATTATTTATTAAAACAAAGAGTAAATGGGACATGTGACTAACTTTTGCAGATGATATAACTCTGAATCATAAAACTATTTCAATGCATGTGATTAGGGTTTTCCGTTGATATGATTTATCACTGCAAACCACAGAACACTGAATACTTACTCAAATATGTACTCAGGATTGAATGCATCACTGCAAACCAACACTTATTACTTTTGACTATTTACTCGAATTTGACAATTCAGCTTGAATGTATAAAACAAAACGTACCATAGAAAAAAAATTAAATAAGAAGCTAAAAATAAAATTATTTTCATAGATCATAATGTTGAACATAAATTTAAACATAGACTAAAATAAACTTAAACATAACTTTAAATTGGATATTAAACTACAACATAAACAACATAGGCTAAAATAAACTTTAACATAAATTAAAATTCGAACTTAAACTACAACATAAGCACACCAATAAGTAGACATAAATTCATACAAAAGTTACATTGTCCTTTTACCATAGACTAATTCAATTAATTCATCCTTCTGTTTAAGCATAAAGGTTTTGATGATGAGGAACTCAAACTAAAGCAAACTCAACTAATAAAGGTTTTCAAGTGTTTGATTAGTTTAGATGAATTTGATCGTGGTGATGGAAGAAGTAGCTGGAACTATGAAGACATGAAAAGATCTTTATTGAAGAAGTTAAACAAATCAGAAGAAGAGTTCTCTAACAAGAACTGAGTTCCCTAACAGGAACTTGAAGACAGCAAGCTTAAGTTCTTTGGTGGAACTTAATAAGCTTGAAGCCCAAGTAATCTACCTGACTAAAAGCGCGGCGCAGCAATTATATTTAGTTAAGGTTTTTATCTTCTAGATTATTGTTAATATGATAAGAAGGTTATTGCACGAAATTTATTAGAAGCGTGACAAGTTGGCTTGGTAAATAAAATAATATGGAAGATTATAAAAGATATATTTTAAGAAAAGATTTTCTAAAAAGATTATTTTCTTTAAATCAGTTTGTTAAAAAGATAAATCTTTTTTAACAAATATCTTTTTAATCTTATTTTCCGGAAAAGATTTTATTCCACTTGATTTACATAAAACCGTGTTTAAAGATAACTTAAGTTAACTTATTTATCTTTTAGAAAACCTACTTTCTATACGAGTGATACTTGTATAAATAGTAGAGAGCAAAATGGTTTTAGGTTTTTGTGAGTTTATGCGTGGAGAAATCACAGTGCTATAATTGAGTAAGTTTACCAAGCTTCTAACTTGTCATATTAGTTTCGGATTTTGTGCATTGCTTACCTATCATACTAGGTGTCGTACACTTTTATTGGGTTGGGTTATTTGGGTGACTTTATTGTTTGCTTTACATACAGTTTTGTAAGCTTCTAGGTGAGGCTGAGAGTTTTGTACTTAGGTGGTGCAAGCAGTTTGTACTTTGGCAGCACGTGTAGTACTTTGGTGGTACGAGTGAATCTAAGTGTGGTACTTAGGTTGGGTAGGATAGGGTCCTATCAAGTAGCAAGTCCGGTGAGGATCTTGTGAAAATAAAGGTCCGTGTCTAATAGGTTGTAACTTGGTGTTTGCCCTATTATAGTGAAGTTTGTGTATTTGAAATCCCTAAGGCAAGGTCGAGGTTTTACTTCCAGTTGGGCCCTGGAAGGTTTCCTCGTAAAATTTGTGTGTTCTAGCAAGTTCCTATATGCATTGTTTATTAATCCGCAAAAAGTAGTCATTAGGAACTCAATACAATTCACCCCCCTCTTGTATTAATCGTCTCAACTGACACCTTCCACGTCTCTTCAATAGGAGTTAGCGGTGTATAGGGCTGTGCACGGTGCGGTTTGGATCTCAAACCGCACCAAACCGCAAAATTGTGGTTTGTGATTTTTTCAAACCGCACCAAACCGCAATTATATACAAACCGCACCAAACCGCACCGCAATATACGGTTTGGTGCGGTGCGGTTTGCGGTTTTTCCACAATTTTACCTATCGATCCAACATGACTTAAGAGAATATCAGTAACAACTTTATTGTATGCTAATAATTTGTGAGAAGGTTTAGTTTTTTTGTCACAGATGCATTGAACGAATGACTGATCAAGTATCAGCTTAGAAGTCGAAGCCCATTTGTTCCTCCAATACTTCGATAGCACGCTCGTCCTTGCTGCTTGTTGCAGAGGTAAACATTCAAGGATTTGTTGTGTTACGTTTGGTGGCAAGTTGCTAATTCTATTGGATGTTGCATGATGTTGCTGCTTAGCTGTGGACATGGTTTTATTGAATCTCTTTTTTTTTTTTTTTTTTTTTTTTTTTTTTTTTTTTTTTGAAATATGGTTTTGATGAATCAAATGTTTATAATAGGGTTGAAAACTTTGAGATTTGGAGGAAACAATACATGGACTTAGCTTATATAGCATAAAATGACAAAGATAACTTTTTCAAGGGAGTTGAAGAGGTGGAGAGGGATGGAGGATCACATTCAATGAACTAGTATTGATAAACTAGCTAATTGGTTCATTCCCCTTTACACAGTAGTTACTAATTGATAAACTAGTATTGATAAACTAGCTAATATGTCGGCTACTAGGTATTGCAAAATAAAATCAGTAAGGACAGTAACCCTAACAAATCTTAGGATCTTTTATTTTTTTATTTTTTGAGTTTATTTTTAAATTTTAGTATATTTATTGATTTTACGGTTTACGGTCTAAACCGCAAATGCGGTTGCGGTGCGGTTTGGTTTAAATTTTTTTTTGAAACCGCACCAAATCGCAAAACCGCGGTTTGGTCAAATTTGAAAACCGCACCGTACTTTCCAAATCGTAAACCGCACCAAACTGCAATATTGCAGTTTGGTTTGCGGTTTGGTGCGGTCTAGACCGCACTCTACTCAGCCCTAGCAGTGTAGTTTTTCCCAGTAGAGCTTGTAGCATATCAAAATTCATCTTCCTTTCCTGTAATTCAGCCTGCTTTTGTTTTCTCATCTCCCTTTTCTCGTCCAGATCCAACTTCTTTTGACGTAGAATAGCCTCTCTTTCTCTGTTTTCATTATTTGCCTTCATTTGCTCACCAATGCTTAAAACTGCACTTTAAGAAGCCACCTGTTTCCCCTTATTACGCTTGGCTTTTGCTTTTTTAACACCATCGGGTCGAGGTAGACCTCCAGACGACAAACCGGTAGAAGGACCATCACCTTCAACTTCAGTTCTAGATCTCTTCCCACTGCCACTGCTTGTCTTTCCTCTTTTGACAATCCCCATCTTAGTTTAGTCCTAAATTTTGGGTTCATTTTTAATCATTTCCCACCCATGGTGACAAGTGAAATTATGGGGAGGCTTGGCCGAAATATAGAATAACTTGGATGCGTTGCTAATTCGGTCAACTTCATTGTAACCACTCCCTGTAGCTCTACCCGCTTCATCATAACAAGTGCTCCATTGTAGCAAATATGTTGTCATCCTTCTCCAATGGCTTTCTAAACTCCTCACAAGTCTGGGCGGTAGAATGTGGGGATTCTCAGCTTGCGCTTTATCATACGCCGCAGACACTTTGCGCCAAAGCACAATTGCTTTTTGATTTGTACCTGAAAATTGCATCTTGACTAAATTTCATGTACAAACCAATAAGAGCTTCATCCTCTGCAACCGACCAAATACGACTTGCTCTAGCGAGTTGTTGGGGTTGATTGGCCGACATTCTTGGAGGAGGTTGAGGTTATTGAGGTGTTTCTGGAACATTTTCTTCAAGCTCCTCCTCGTATTGAGAGTTACTCCCTTATACGTAGTAGGTGATTGCGGTTCATAGTTAGTGTTTTCAACAGGAATTTGAGGAGGTGTTTGTTGTGAAGTATTTTGCAAAGAGATGTTTCCTAATCTTTGTAGGAAAAGTTAAAATTGAGGATTGGTAAGGAAATCATCCCCTAAATCAACTAAATGAGCTGAAAATTGAGAGTAGTTGGGGTTGTTGGGGTCCATGAGATGATTAAATTTTAAAAAAAACAATGTTAGCAATATTTGATCAGATATAAAATTAAATACTAAACAACAATTAGTAGTAGTAGTAGTAGTAGTAATAATAATAATAATAATAATAATAATAGTACTAATAATAATGATACTTTTAATAATAATTTTTGTTAAGATTTTAAATATGTATTACAAAGTGATAGATAAGTGAATATGGTAATTTTTTTTGTGATTTTTGAAGTATGTGAAATTATATGAAAATGGATGTCTATTTATAGAGAAAAAAAAACTATGAACGTTGGTGTAATTTTTTTTTAAAACGGAAATATGATTTATAATGGTTACAAAAATCTTACCGTTGGTTTAAATCAGACATTTTCTGATTGGTTGAGAAAGGCTGACAGGACGCGTGTCAGCGTGCCATTGGGCCGCGTGACGCGGCCTGTTAGCAGCTGAATCTATTTTTTTTTTGCTCCGTTCCACCAAAACGACGTGTTTTGGGGAATGTGATGAATATCAGTTTCCAAAACTCAACGTTTTGGTGCGGGGTTAGCAAAAAAATAAATAAATTTGAACATCAGTTTGGATGTGGGGCCCACCGCATTATTGTTCACCCTTATTTCTCCTCAACATTTGCGCAGATTTCATTCTCCCCATGAGGAGATTATTTTCTTCTCATTAGTGTAGGTTATTTGTATTTTTTTTTCACACTTATTTTTTCTCATGTACATTTTTTACCTCATTGGTGTGAATGCTCTTAGGCAAAACTTTTACCTTTTTTTTTAAAAAAAAAAAAAAAAATATTACTTGCACTAGTACGGGTAGTACCTTTACAAAAATGAAAATTCGAGAATATTTAAATGTCATTCTGTGATAAATTGCATAACGAAATGAGTTATGGACACCAACATTGAGAAAGATACACCTTGCTCTTCTATTGCCGTTGAATCTATTGTTCGTATTGGAACAGTAAGCAATTCAACTTATTTTTCTCTTTAACCATAATTTTGAACTTTTTTTTTTATTTTTATTTATTACTTTTCAATTTCTTCTTTATTCAATTTTTGCAGGCAGGAGCACTCTGGGGTTTGTGTTCTGGATCATATGATGCTAACAAATTAGGTAATTTATCCAATAATTTGACAAATTGATCATGGGTTGTTTTAATTTGTGATAAAAAGGTATACCCTTTTATTAATTTGTTGAATTAATTTGTTTAATTGTAGTAGGATGGTTTATTTCTCTGGTTTGTGTTTTTATTGTTGTGATTGAATTTTGATAATTTAGGTCTTGCTGGCTTTTCTCGTGCTTCGTTTGTGGTAAGAAATTTGATTTTGTTCAAAGTTCAGAAAGAATGAAGAAATGGGTATTATTTTATTTTTGGTCTGTTTATTTTATGATTATATCTTAACATATTGTGTTTATAAATGCAGGCAAAATCGATTGGCGTAACTAGCTTTCAATGTGGTACTAATTCTATCCAAACTAAGTCTGTTTACTTTTACTATTTTCCATTTACAAATTGCATTTTGATGCTAAATGTTTAAAATTGTTCTTGTTTGTGGGTTGGTCTTTGTATTTTGGTTGAGTTTAGAGATTGAGATAAAGAATGGCGAAATGGAATAGATGGTGGATGTAGTGAGATAGGATCCTTAACTTCTTAAGAATTCCACGATGTTATTGCTAGAATTAAGGATGTTACATAGAAGGATACTTGTATTTGATGTGTAGGGTTATAAAGCTTGTAATCGTTTCATGAGTCAAAAAGAGCTCTTTGAGAAGTCAATCCCTTGGGCTGTTAGTTTCTTTTTGGTTGATTATTATTTCACATTTTATGTTAGTTTATATAAAGGTTGTTTGATTATTGCTTCCACTACAGCGCAAACCTATAGCTGGCTTGGGTACCTACGTTGGGCATGGGTATGCGTGGTTGTATTAGACCCAACTATTTTATGAAAAATTTCCTTATAAGTGGTGTATAATTAGATGTCAACTGCCCGTAACCATGTTGGAGTATTGAGTATTTGACATAACTATTTGAGGTGAAATAAAAAGTCCAAGCAATCTAGATGCAAACATGATAGTTTACCTTTAGATGCATTCTTGTCTCGTAAGAATATAAGATATGGGTAAAAAGATTGAAGAACAATTTTTTTTGCCTGTTTACAAAAGATATATGATTAATTGGCAATTTTGCGATGCTATCATGGGTCTGTTTGCTTAGTATAGAGATAATTCTCATAGGTTTCATGGGGTAGAGGTCTATATTTGCCCCCTTCTTTTACTATCGCGAAAATTGAGATATTGTTCTTGTTAGATTTGTCTTGAGATACACCTTCAAAATACCTTTTATGATTTTACTTGTTATAAGTGAAGATAATAGTGGTAAGAGTTGTGCGTTGGGATGTGGTGAAAATTTCACTGTTGCAATAATAATAAAGGAACAGATATCCTCATCATTGAGAGTTCAGACATTCGGTTGGAGTGTTGTGGAGTGGTGATACCTCTGATGATGTTGTGGACTCGTGGGGGACAATGAGAATCTATGTTCACCACTGTCTTTGCTAATTGGTTTTGACTGGCTTGGTTTACTGACTAAAATTTGTTTTCATGAAAAGCATATGAGCTGGACCTTTGTGACTCACACTACACTGAGCTATAAGTTCTGAGGGGGCCAACATTTTGAGATGAAGTATAAGTTTCTGTGTTAGTGTTCTACAAATCTGGGAAGTCTGTGTTTTTCTAATTAATGTTATCTGATTCATTTGTTAGATAATATAATCTTCCTTGTGATGAATAAGTTTTCTAAGATCTCTAAAATGTCTTCAGACCCATTCCTTCACAATGTTTGTATGTGTAATGGGGTTTTTTGTGATTAATGTTATTTGATTGACTTGTTGAGCTGTGCTATCCTCCTGATAGCAAATCAGTAGACGTGTCACTCATTCCTTTTTCCAATTAGGCAAAAAGCTGCAATTAAATATTTAAATCGTGAGAAACTAATTGTTGAGATTTATTTGTTAAAAAGATTAGCAGATATTTTTTCTTTTTTTTTTTTTTTTTTTGATTAAAAAAAAAAAAAAAAGGAGAGCTCAGGGGCGCGAAATAGGGGGAGATTTCTTATACACCCATCACAGCCATTGTGCTGCAACAACAAACTTAATGTAGTAATTGCATAGTTATTAAGAACTTTCCTTTGGTGACTTCTTAGGCAACAATGTCTTGCTTCTTGAAAGCTATGCTAAGTTCAGGAATATAATAATAACTTAGCCATGCTGCTGCTTTATGTGTCATTGATTTGAAGACTCGGCCTTGTTTTTTTTTGTGTCATATGATCCTTTTCAAAGCTTGCTTGTAATTTTAATTAGTTTTATACTACTCTATTTCCCATTGGACTAGGAATGTTTGCCGGAGTTTTTTCCTTGACTCGCTGTGGAATCCAAAGTTATCGAGGGCGTGAAGATGTGGTAAGTAGACAAGTAGTTTATGTATCATCAAATCCCATTAATTTTTCTTTGTAAGTGTTAGTTCAAATTCTATCTTCTTATTTTTGGTTTCCGAATTCCATTGGAATATTGGATTATTAAAATTCAATTCATTCATTCATCAGAATGGAGTAATAAAGCTAATTGACTTTAAGAATAATATCTGTAATTTTATAATTGGTTAACCTTTTAAAATGTTTTCTTATAGAATCTGCTGCAATAAATCTTTTCAAAAAAGAATACTTGTATGTTGTATTGGTCATGTTTTAGACGGAAGAAGGGAAAATCATGAAAAGTTAAGGTTGATGTTTTCATATTATATAAAGAATCATAACCTTATAAAAGTTATAATGTAAGAGAAAAAAGAAAGGAAAAAACACACACACACACACACACAAAACTTAAGTGATTTTAAACTTGAGAATGCTGAACACTTGGATAGTATAAATCTCTGGGAGGTTGGATTCCTGTTCCAGCCTTGCAACTTACAACTTTATAAATCTTCCCCATAAATATAAACTGTGTAGTGATTTGCTGTGGAAATATGTCTCTTTCAATTCTTCTGCCTTGGAACAAAATTTGATGTATGAAAAGATCGGATTCTATTAGGAAAAAATATTTAAGCCTGGTGGCTTGCATGTCATCCCATATGATTGACTGGGTCTTCACCTGCAGTTAAATGCTGCTGCTGCAGGTGCTATAGTTGGAGCTGCTATTGCTGTCGGGACTCGTAGCAAGAAGGAGGTTGCTGGAGTGGCTGCTCTTCTTTCCATTTTAGGTGCAGCAGCTGATTATTCCAGGACACTGTGATTTTTGAAATTATTTTACCAAGGAACTTAGATGGGTAAGGTTGAATTTAAACTTTAAAGTGTATTTTCCTTTCTACCCTGTATTTTCTACTTACCTAATTGATTGTTATCTTGTTGAACATTTATTATTCAAGCTAGTGATTATCATTTTTTTTCAATTGAAGATCTTTGCATTGACCAGTTGTTCTGTTAACCTTAAAATGAATCAAGGTCACTGCATTTTCTTTAGTTAAATTAAATTAGATAAGAGTTAAGAGCAATGGCGGATCCTGGTTTCCAATTAACCCGGTAAATTATAAAAAGAAAATAAGTAACAGCAAAAAAAGCTATTGTCTGAAGTTAAACTACTAGTTCAAAGGTGGCTCATTAGTAAAAAGGTAAACTTCCAGCATTCACGATGAGATTGACATTGACTCGTACAAGTCACGTTCCCTTCATTCTTCCATCCATCACCCTCTATTGATCTGCTCAGTCGTTAAAGGTAAATAATACTCCGTAGTATCAAATATGTTTAGACTATTAATTTTCATAGACTGATAACATAGATGATGTAGGTGTAGATTTATTTGTTGCATGGAAATTTGCAATTATAGATAATACTTGGTAGTTGGTACGACAATAGTTATATTAAACTAATTTCTAGTTTAGGGTAGTAAGTAGCTTTCAAACTTAACAAACATGTCAAATTCTACTTTCATCGTATACATTTTTTTTGGCTGATCTCGTAACCTGCAGCTTGACTGCCTCTATCCTCTAATACATACACTTTGCTGCTTCACGTTTGCACTATTTGCTTTTGCATGTCCCAAAACACATATCCAATAATATTTAGGAACGTCATAAATTCCTTACCCGATAATTTGCAGGACTTTCTCAAACTTGATGCTTTGTTGAAAGGTCGTGAAGGAAGACATGTAAAATGAGAAATAGCCCAGCCTGTGTGGCCAATTGTAATTCACAGGTTGTTGTTCCTCTTACAAGAAACTAAGTAAATAGCGTCCTGATTAGCAAGCATTAGCACATATCATTAATACTGTAGTTAGTATAAGATTAGCAAGTTCAATGTGTAAGAGCTGTGGTAGATTAGCATTTTGCTAAAACAAAACTTTCTAAGAATTTTAAAACTCGAACTATCAGAGATTAAATATGCTGTTGATTAAATGTCTATTTCTCGATTAAGGTCATTGAAGTTGCTGGTAGAGCAACACTTAAGAAACTAGCATTCTGCATTTTACCAATTACTCAAATTAGCAATTAGTGAAGCACTTGGATAGATGAGCAGCAATTGCATGTTCATCGGTGCTTCAGATGATTTTCGAGCTGTTTCTGACATTTGATACAAGTGTAACTTTTGCAGGGGAACTGGAATTTATAGGTCATTTACAAGAAGTCAAGACCCAAGATTAACGTCGAAGGAAGAAATTCAAACTCAGCAGCTGATGGATTAGCTAAATTTGCTAGGAATTATCCTTGAACCAATAGCAGATGTATCTTGCTAACCACTCCTAGTGTGTATTGACATAGGTTCTTGATATTGACTCTAATTTTTATTGGAAATAACTAGTTTTAGTCTCGTGCTTTATTCTTCACTGTTTGATTTAATGACGTTTTGTTAAGAATGGTATCTTTGCAAACTTTAGTGTTTTTTTTTTTTTTTTTTTTTTTTGAACGGTTGCAAACTTTAGTTGGAATAGCTCTACTTATTAGAAGTGGAAAAGCCCACTAATCACCAAGTCAACAAGAAAAAATGCTAATAAGAGCAATAACTACAAGAATTAACTAATCATGTTTCTATAACTATATACATCAATTCTTTATTTATTTATTTTTTTAAGAGAAAAAAATATATGAACCCCTTCAATACACTTATACACTTTACATGTCCAAAAAAAAAAAAAAAATCCACTACACTTGCTTTGAACTACAAGTGAATTTGGTTTCAACTTTCAAGCAACCGAGATCCTTCAAACAAGAAGTTTTTAAGTTTTTGTTATTGGTTATGTTGATTTGTAAGAGCTAGTTTAGTTCATTTAAGTGTTTTGGTGTAGTTTGTAATAGTTTGATTTTGCCGTTTACTTTGAACTTTAACAGAGAGAATATATATCCTATAGTTAGCAAGAGAAATCTATTTTTTTTTTAATTACTTTTGTAGTTCGGCGCCTTTTTGGTGCAGCAGGCCACACCATGTGGCCTGCTGCCATGTCAGCCAAAATAACGGAGTGGACGCGGTGAACTAAATGACTTTAACAGAATTTAACGGAGCAGCACTCTGACACATACACGCACTCACTCTCACATATAAAAGCAATGACACACGTCCCAAAAGCAATAAAACTAGAAATGGAAATCAACAAATTGCAAGGTAATTTTATCAAAATTTATATTTATACTGTTTAATATGTATTTCATCATTAAAATTTACAAGTAACCCCAAAAAACTAGCAACCCTAAAATTTACAAGTAATCCTGTAAAACTAACAAGTAACCGCTATAAAAATAATAACTATCCTTTTAAACTAACAAGTAACCCCTAAAAATAATGAGTAACCCCTGTAAAACTAATAATTAACCCCTGTAAAATTAACAAGTAACCCCTGTTAAACTAACAAGTAACCCCTAAAGTAAACAAGTAACCCTAACAAAAAATAACAAATAACTCCTATAAAATTAACAAATAACTCCTATAAAATTAACAAGTAACCCCTAAAGTAAACAAGTAACCCTAACAAAAATTAACAAGTAACCCCTAAAATAAACAAGTAACCCCTATAAAATTAACAAGTAACCCCTGTTAAACTAACAAGTAACCCTAACAAAAATTAACAAGTAACCCCTAAAATAAACAAGTAACCCTAACAAAAATTAACAAGTAACCCCTATAAAACTACCAAGTAACAAGTAACCCCTAAAATAAACAAGTAACCCCTATAAACCTAACAAGTAACCCCTATAAACCTAACAAGTAACCCTTGTAAAACTAACAAGTAACCCCTATAAAACTAATAAGTAATACCTGAAACCTAACAAAAATTAACAAGTAACCCCTCTAACTTAACAAGCAAATTCTGTAAAATTAACAAGTAACTCCTAATAAACTACGAGTAACAAGTAACCCCCTAAAACTTTACAAGTAACCCTTCTAAAACCAACAATTAACCCCTATAACACTAAAAAGTAACCCTATAAAACCAACGAGTAACCCCTAAAACAAGTACACTGTAATTTTTAAAAGTAATCCCTACATAATGAACAAAGTAACTATTGTTGTATCTTCTACATTAGCAAGCTCCTCCAACATCTTCTTAGCAGCCTCCATTTCATCTGCCTTTTGTTTCTTTTCATTCTCTAGTAATTCTTCATAAATTGCTTGATTTCTACTCACGAATTCTTTCACACCATCCAAAACAATCTCACGAAACTTGTTCAAATTGCAGAGCATAGATGACAGGAAATTCGAAAAAATTACTAAAATTAGGGTTTGATTTATATCAGAAGTAGGAGAGTTCAGCATATATGTCGATCCTTTCTTTCCCTTGGGGAAGATTATCTTGATTTTAATCATTATCAACTAAAAGAACAATTTAGAGGAGAGAGAATCAAGGAAATTAACAATGAAAGAAACTGAGAACAAGGAGAGAGAAAGAAAATTAAATGTGAAGAGCAGAGAAGAAATGAAGGAGAAAGAAGTGAATAGAAAAGACTGGAAGTTTTTTTAAAAAAATTGATGAAGCGCCTTACGCCGTTAATGGCTCGTTAATGGAGTCCGTTACATGTATGGGCTACGCGTGTTTGGGCCTTATGTATTGTGGCTGGTCACACCATGTGGCCAGCCACATATAAAAGTTTGTGCTTGTCGTTATATTTTTATTTTCATGTTTATCAATGCATAAATTTAACTACTCCGTATTATTAATTACTTAATAAGTGAATTATAAAAAATAAAAAAATAATAAAACTTTTGATATTTTGAAAGTATATAGTGAGTCAAATCTAACAAGGTCTTACATGATAATTTTTTATTTTATATTATTTTTTTGAAGAAAACTCCCAAAAGGGAATCAATTAATTAAAGGTTGCAAATCAAAGTTCAAAGCATTACCTGATTATATTTTTAATTAAGTATAAATCATCAAAGATGATTACGGGCCTGTTCACATTTACTGAACTGAACTGAACTGATTGGAGCTGAACTGAATTGAATTGATTTGAATTGAGCTGAAATGAATATTTTATGAGAGAGGAAAATTAAGAGTTGAACTGAACTGAACTGATTGGAGCTGAACTGAACTGATTAGAGCTGAACTGAACAGAACTGAAATTAAGTAAATGTGAACAGACCCTACATCATGGTGTATGAATGAAGATGTAAAAGTTAAAATATTATAATTGTCAAAAAAAATGTTGCAATTAGAAGTAAACAGAAAAAAAATATTATTTGTAGTAAAGTACATGCATATAGTTCTACATGATTGGGGTAGTAAACAACAGTCGACTAAAGATCAGTCAGGCAGTACAAAATTTTGTACCCAAACCTGCAAAATAGTGTTAGGAACTTATGATTATGATCATGGAGCCAAAGTGAACTTTCGGGCCGGACATGGATTATGAACTAAAACTTCATATTTAGGGTTGCCCAAAGTCCCAAACCCATGTTTTTTTCAAGCTGGATCAAGTCATTATTGATAACCTCTAATACAGATTTTTGGTAGGATCCACCCAATTTTTTTTTTTTTTTTTTTTTTTTTTTTTTTTTTTTTTGGTGAGCACATCCTTTGAGTAGCACACTTTAAAACAAGACAAATGGGTACTGGACTATAGATGTTATTTTTGCCAATTGTAAGGCCTTATTTTTTTTGGGAGATGGCCCTAGTAAGTTTGACAGTAATTTCATGACATGATATATCCGACCATCACTATCACATATCCAATTTATTGTAGATATATATCCATAATCCATTCCAAAATAATTGATATAATTTTTACTTTTACTGTTATTCACTTGTTTAATTTCATCGTATATTATAATTAAGCCATGTTCACTTTAAAAAAAAAAATAATAATATGTAAAAATATTTCCAGTTGAATAAAAATAATTTCATTTCGATAAAATAAGTTCATTTTAGTTAAAATAATTTTAGTTAGTAAAAATAAGTCCAGTTTAGCAAAATTAGTAATTGTAAAGAAGAAATATAATAGAGAATCAGGAAAAATAATTTCAATTTAGCAAAAAAAAGGTGAATTTCAATTTACCTTATAAACATAAAATCCGTTAAGATAATTTCAGTTCACTAAAATTAATTTCCATTCAGTACAAATTAGTATTTTTAAAGAAAAAAAAACATACTCCATAATTGACACAGTCAAACTTTGCACGCATGTCAGTGCACTAGTTTGACCTTATGTTTACATAGATTAATAATGAAAATTATTAAAACAAAAGTTTATTATGAAACTTTATATTAATTTATACTTATTTAACAACATATTTAGGCCCCGTTCTTTAGAGCTGCTCTGCTCTGCTCTGCTCAAATCAAATCTGCTCGCCTCTACTCTGCTCTGCTTAATTTTTAAATAATAATTAATAATAACAACAATAATAATTAATATTGAATAATAATAATTAATATTGTATTGATGATAATAATTTATTATTTTGAATAATTATAAAAATTATTAATATTAAAAATAATTTTAATAATAAATAATAATAATAATAATAATAATAATAATACTAATAATAATAATATTAATAATTAATAAAATAATTAATAATTTTAATAATAATAATTTTAATAATTAATAATAATAATAATTTTAATAATAATTTATAATAATAATAATAATAATTTTAATAATTAATAATACTAATAATAATACCTTTAATAATTAATAATAATAATTATAATTATTATTATTAATAATAATTTTAATAATTAATAATAATAATAATAATATTAATAATAATAATAATAATAATAATAATTAATAATAATTTTAATAATTAATAATAATAATAATTTTAATAATTAATAATAATACTAATAATTAATAATAATAATAATTTTAATAATTATTAATGATAATAATAATAATAAATAATAATAATTAATAATAATAATAATAATAATAGGAATAACATTAATAATAGTATTAATAATAATGTTGAAATCTGCTATACTCGGCTATGCTCTGCTCTGCTCGGCTATCTTGAAATCTGCTCTGCTCTACTCCGCTGAAATTTAATTTGCTCTGCTCAGAAGCTCAGAAGAACAGGGCCTTAATATGATAAAATATGTTTTTATTATGTTAGTAAAGAACTATAATCAATGCTAATATATGAAAGGTGAAAAAAAGTCTAACGTGCAGTGTCATTATTCTGGGACGGAAGGAGAATAATAGAGAATCAGTAAAAATAATTTCAGTTTATTAAAATAATTTAACTTAAATAAAATTAATTTTAGTTAGTTTAAATAATTTAAGTTCAACCAAAAAAAAAAAAAAAATCAATTTAGTATGTAAAAATAATTTCAGTTCAACAAGCATAAGATGAAGTGAACATAGCCTTACAAGAGATTTTATTAAAGAGGTTCTTAATAGACATT